CTACTGCAGGACCTAGTTGCAGCTCAACTGGTAAGTTGACTGATCGAGTGGATTGGCCGGAACAAGTCTCAAGCTTTTACCACTAAAATGGTTTTACCACTAAAGTCCAGGAACTCAGGGAGTGAGGTTACGAACCCAGGCAGCTGACCAGTCCTGTGAATCTTTGGCGCAAACGCTCGTCAGCTCCCAAGTAAAGCCTCAGGGGTGGGGGCCGTCAGAGTTCGTCTCAAACACGGAATCGAATTCCCAAAGGCTTCACGTACCTTATAATGTTAGCCCCGGAAGCAGAACCCCTGGTTGATTTTGATCGGGGGGTCTCCAATTCCTTTTAGTGATTGGATTCAGACCACTTTTGGGGGGAACACCCCCCTAATAGTGGGACGGGTTCATTCATCCTGGGTCAACATTGTGCAAATATTAGGAATCTGTATTCGACGAATTCCCTTGAACCCATCCGGATACCGCAAATACGGGATACCAAGGGACCCTCTGGGTTAGATTTCTCTTTAAACCAACTTGAGGGAACAAAAACAACAAAACAAAAAACAACTTGATGCGCCGTTTCTGCGCAGCCCTGACAAACTTCGGCCATTGGAACCAAGGGGACCAGCTCATTCCGCACCAATTCACAACCGGAGACCTGACACCTGCATCAAGGTTGACCCCCACAGCCTGGTAGAGGATGCAGACCCATGTCGAGCCCCCCCCTTACCTGAGGTACCAAAAAGCCCTCTGGACAATGGTTTGCTTAAACCGCCTCCTTGGGCTTTCTTTACACATCTCGCACATGTAGCCGCCAATTCTGCTGCGTAAACGTCAAGGGGCTTTCCTGTTGGTTCCCTGGACTCTTCTGCCTCCGATTCTGCTGCGTAAGTATCAAGCGGGGGGGTGCTTTCTGGTTGGTGGCCCCTATCCAATGCTAGGGCCTCCAGTGTCTAGTGGAGAGGTTAGAATAAGGGGGCCCCCTTTTCTGTGGTGTATTTTAGTGGGGGAACCCTCCCCCAAAAAAGGGTAAATAGGCACTACTGGGAGACCTAGAATGGCTGTCAAGGACCCAATTGACAGATATGGGTGTGTTTCTGTTTGAGGGTTGCCCTTTGGACTGGTTTTAAAGGGCAAACAAAAGATTACCAACTCATTTCGGAGGGTCCCCCAAAAAAAAGACAGACCAATCGCGTCATGCCCAACACGACGTCCGGTCAAGCACAAGGAGTCCTTGTGGCGTTACTCGCTCCAAGATCCTCAGAACAGCACGTCCAGTGACACAGTCCCCCCCGAACTTATGAACATACCCCACCACACCTGTCTTCTTTTCAGGCGAAGGGTACCTTTCCAAAAGGAGTGCCGAGCCAGGGAGAGCCCAAGCTTCAGCGTCCTGGAGATAGTTTTCAGATGTTTTGAGAACCCCTCACGGGGTGGCCAATCCACTCAGGAAGTGAGATGTGGAAGCTTGAAGATGTCGAGGGCAGACCTGAACGCTTTCTTATAGTTGGGGGTGTCTATATCGGGGGGGATAAGCCCAGCAGCAGCCGAGGATAAGCCACGAAGGCCTTACAGTGTTAAAAGGGTTAACCAGCACAAGTCCGAACTGTTTACCGGTTAAAAGGCTCAGGTAAGGAATTAAGCAATGGTCCATCTATATTTATCCTAACGACACTTACCCAAAAAGCATTTCGCTGAATTAAGTTGGTTCCAAAGGGAACATTGAGCGGGTGACAAACTGCATGTGCCCAATAAGGTACCTTGCGCTGGGTGTGACCCCCAATGTGATGCTTCCTGACCCCTGGGGATTTTCTTGGCTCTCAGTGAAAATTTCGAAAATTTCACAGGTTTTGGGATCGCAGGAAACCACCAGTTGGATTGTTTCTGGGATGTTTTCAGATCGCCTTCTAGGAAAAAAACAGCACGAAACTAACCAGAAACGCAACAAACCTAAGGAACCCGGCGCCTGAAAACCTTCAAGGTTTATGGGGGGTCATTCCAACGCTTTCCCCAACCACTGAGAACCTGCAAATGGTGGGGCGGCTGCCTTTTGGTGCCCCTTTCAACCAACTTCAATATATAAGGACACACTCAAAAACCCACGGCTGTCTATCTTGCAAGTTACTGGCTGATAGAGAGAGAGAGAGAGAACAAAAAGACACACATGTGTGTTCAGCAAAACAGAACAAGGGCAAGGTGGGAAGCCGCAAGAACATGCTGCAGTCTCCATGACCCGTAACACAACTTGGGGTCCTGAGTCTCGAATTTGAGCTTCTTTTGGTCCCATGCTTGATTTGGGTCAGAAGGCGCACTCCAGGAACCCCCACACCAACTCAATCAACTCAAATTGTCAAAGGCACGGGATCGATCAAATTTTCGGGCATGGGGCCCGCCGCAGCCAAGTTCTTAACATCTATAATGATTGCCACTGCCCGCAAAGAAGCTGTGAGTTGATGGGATATACCACCACTCTGTAGCCACTATGTGGGTCTCAAACCCAGTTTCCCTTGGTAGTGGCCTGGGGGTGGTGGATGGACACATTCCCAGTTGGGATGGACAAAACTCCATGACCAATCCTACCAACTGGTGCAGGATTTTGTCCATCTGCAGGTGCCGGTGCCCTCGTTCCCATAAAGGAAACCCAAGGTCCTTGCACAGTAACCGTCCACTGTTCGATGTTCAACCAACGTCAGCTAAGAGCCGCAGTTACGACTAGGTTGATACGGGTGCGCCCGTTATAACTATGGTTGTAACCTGCTTACCTGACGTTGGTTGAGCATCCAAGTAGGGTTGGTTTGAATGGAAGCCACAAGTTGAAACGTTCCCTTCCCATTTTTTGGGGATTCAGATTCGAAACGACTATGAGACGCACCCGGACATGGCTGTGGGAAATGATCACTAGGATGCAACATAAAAGGCTTCCCAAAGACTAACCCCCCTCCATTTTTTCAGGGGGAAGATTCCCATAGCCAAACCTCGAGCAATCCCGCAACCCTGCACTTGAACCAACCCCAAAGCCATACACGTGGGGTACCTGAGGCTCCCTCAAATGGGCGCTTGGATGTTCGATTCGCCAAGTTAAGTGGTCGGCCAGGTCGGCACCTAGGATCCCACAAACCTGCACCCGGAAAATCCAAGCGGAAGAAACTTCTGCCAAAGCTCCTTCCGACCGCTGGCTCCCCGATCTCAAAGGCCCAGCCGCCGGTACTTCGCGGGTAGGCCTCTAAATCCCATCGAACACCCGAACTCGGGGAGCCGGAAACTCACCTCCTAATTTGGTTGCTGTTGACGGAAAACCGCTTGATTTCCCAAAAAGTTAAAGTCTAAAGATCCAACCTAATAGCAGTCAAGCTAAGTGGCTTGGTCCAAAACCACACATGTCTGGGTGGCTTGGTTTCCAAAAAAGGAGGCAAGCTTTTTGGTTGCCGCTCAAATGGTCCAAGCCCAAGGAACAAGTCCGTAAGCTCAAGGAGTGAGGAAGCGGGGCGTATCCCGGGCTTTTATCAGCGGCCTCGGAACTTTGATATCCATGTCATCCCCAACGGTCAGTTAAAAGAAAAAAGAGACACGAGCTGTTTGGAGTGAGGAACGCCCGTTTGCCGGGTTGCTTAAAAAAACTCAGGTTCATCCTGGGCTTCCATGGCTGACCTTCTATGTTGCCGTCAATGTCATCCCCAACGGCCAGTTAAAAGAAAAAAGAGACACGAGCTGTTTGGAGTGAGGAACGCCCGTTTGCCGGGTTGCTTAAAAAAACTCAGGTTCATCCTGGACTTCCATGGCTGACCTTCTATGTTGCCGTCAATGTCATCCCCAACGGCCAGTTAAAAGAACAAATGGACACGAGCTGTTTGGAGTGTTGAACGCCCGTTTGCCGGGTTGCTTTAAAAAACTCAGGTTCATCCTGGGCTTCCATGGCTGACCTTCTATGTTGCCGTCAATGTAATCCCCAACGGCCAGTTAAAAGAAAAAAGAGACACGAGCTGTTTGGAGTGTTGAACGCCCGTTTGCCGGGTTGCTTAAAAAAACTCAGGTTCATCCTGGGCTTCCATGGCTGACCTTCTATGTTGCCGTCAATGTCATCCCCAACGGCCAGTTAAAAGAAAAAAGAGACACGAGCTGTTTGGAGTGAGGAACGCCCGTTTGCCGGGTTGCTTAAAAAAACTCAGGATGGCCAAACTTCTTGTGTAGGAGCCCAACGGTTTGTTCACCATTGTTCCCTACGGGAAACCAACGAAGCAACCATTTGAGGGTCAACGACTTTGGGGGGTTCTGCTTATCAACCTGGGCGTGTTGCCCTTTAACTGGCCGTTGGGGATGACATTGACGGCAACATAGAAGGTCAGCCATGGAAGCCCAGGATGAACCTGTTTTTTTAAGCAACCCGGCAAACGGGCGTTCCTCACTCCAAACAGCTCGTGTCTCTTTTTTCTTTTAACTGGCCGTTGGGGATGACATTGACGGCAACATAGAAGGTCAGCCATGGAAGCCCAGGATGAACCTGAGTCTTTTTAAGCAACCCGGCAAACGGGCGTTCCTCACTCCAAACAGCTCGTGTCTAATTTTTTTTAAAAGGGCCGTTGGGGATGACATTGACGGCAACATAGAAGGTCAGCCATGGAAGCCCAGGATGAAGATCCTTCAGGTTTCTATGACAAGCAGAGGTGGTGTTTTTCTTTGAGGGTGCTTGTGTTTGCGGTTTCAAAGGGAAAACCAAAGGTAAACCACCATTTTGAGGGGCGGGTCAACTTAAAAAACAAGCCAATGTCAGGTGGCGCGAAAGAATGTAAAACAAAAAAACAAATGCCTCCCGGAGCTTCCACGACCAAAAGAGAAATCGGGGTCATATACTCAAACAGAGGGGTCCTGGTCTGGATTGCTCCAAGCTCTCCTGAGCTTTCAAAAGTTCTGTCACAACTCAGATGCCCAGTGGTCATGGGAAAAACAGGGCATCCTTTTTTGGTTGCTTGACATTTTAAGAGAAACCCTTCCCCAAAAAAAACATAATTTCACAAAAAGAGGGGGCGGAATCCACTGGGCAACTGGGACAAGCGCCAGGTCTCTCCCCGCCGCCTTTTTGTCGCTTGATGTGTCCTAATTCTCTGACTCACTCGCCAAGCGATCTCTCCGATCCGCGAGTAGTCGCGGTCGTTGCTCAGCACGTCTTCCCGCCCGGCGGCGAGATGCATCACATCCTGGCTCGCGTGACGCTTGCGTGGACCGACAGGCTTCCATTTGTTCAAGTCCCCTGAAAAAAACAAATATGTGCAGTTGTGATAGATTCCCTTTAAAACCAACAAGGGAAAATACCAAAAAACCAAAAACGTCTAAAGCCAATGGAAGTGGAGGGGGGGGGGCGGCTATGGGCAGGGGGATATCCTTATTAACCCCTCAATAAAGCCCTTATTCAGGGGCTTATGCAGGCATAGCCCTCCCCCCCATAGGTTTCCGTGGGGTCCATCATCCGACAATACCTACCGACCCCTGGTTTGGAATTAGAAACGAAGCGGATCCAAAAAAAAGCCCCTGAGGAGAGAAGCATTGTCGAAGGCGATCGGCATTGCAAACAGGGCATTCGACAATATATAATTTGTGTTTATTAGATATATGTATATATATATATACATATATATATATATACATACACAAGCTTCCCCGCATGATCCACGTTTGCAGCTGCCACGTCTAATTTTAAAGGTAAGGTCTCACACCATGTCTGTTTAATTATGCCGTGTATCTCTTTGTATTCACTTCACGTCCCTTCATTTCGCACTTTACTTTCTTTCATTGGTCTTTGCATTTCCATGTATTCCCTTCATTTCTCATGTCATTTCTCTTCCATCCTGCATCGAATTATGATGGAACATAAATAAACATGTCCTATTCATCGAATACGAAATCAGGAAGCAGCAGTGCTTGTCATTGATGAAGGATACTCACTTTCCGAGTGGATTAGCAGAACAAGTACGAATCAGTACGAATGTTTTATTTACCACTAGAATCGTCAAGTTTAAAGTCCGGAACGGAAATCAGGGGAGTGAAAACATATATCTTGCGTAAAAACATTAATATCCATTCAAATTGTCCATCTGGACCAAGGGCACTTGTTTTGCCAATGTCCGCAAACGCTGTCGCCTTCTGCTGCTTGTTCAAGGGAACCAAGGAAAACAACCCTAATTTTGCTCACGTCCGATCAAGCGGATTGGCAAAACAACTTCGTATCATAACTGTTTAATTGAAACTAGAATGGTGGTCCCAAGAAGCAAGTCCAGGAACTCAGAAGGTATCCAAACCCATTTGCAGCCAAGATCAATTGACCCCATTCTAGGACACGACCAATTCAAGCTGGGAGCCCACTATCTGCTGTGTTGAAATTCCAAACCATAGAAACGGCAGTCCGTAGAACTCTCCATAAGGCAACATCCTCGCACCAGGTGGAAGGATGTAAAAGGATGCGACCACACAAAGATACCGCTTGGATGCTTGGCCAAGTTAGTGAGTGCTTAGCCACCCGTGAAAACCCCTATCATAACAGGGTTAGCTCCAGTCGGGGACTTTTCAGCGGGTTGTAACCTAGGTGACCAACAACTTACTCCCTTGGCGAATCGAACACCCAAGTAGGGCTCATGCAATTTTGTCTGGCTACCATGGGGCTGAAGACAACCCAGCAAGTCCTGATACACGAGGCAAGCTCGGGTGCACGAATTCGAGCATAAACCTGCGGCTACGCCGTCCAAAGATGTAAACCTAGGTAATATCTAGTAGTCAAACCTTCAGATATTACCAACAAAAATGGATAACACCAGTTCCTTGCGCCTCTTAAAGCCTTGAAGCCCTGTACAGAAAAAACATCGAAGCCCCGCCGGGTCCTTGATGATGTCATGGTTTCCCAGCATCTCCACGTGCTTGGCTGACTTTGGGCCGCCCCGCGCATCGGAGAACAAGGAGCTGGACATGTCGATGTACTCCCGAACCTGATCCGAACTTGACGGCTCCCCGGCCCAGCCAAAATTGCCCGACAGGGTTTGCCCCTCAAGCGGAACCTGACATATCCAAACCCTCCATTTGCTTAAGTTTTCTGTGAAAAAACATATGTCCAGCAGTGACACGTCCCCTTTAAAACCGTCCCCTGGAGAAAGAAACAAACATATGTCCAGCAGTGACGCATCCCGTGTAAAACCGTCCCCCGGAGAAAAACACATATTTCCAGCAGTGACACGTCCCCTTTAAAACCGTCCCCTGGAGAAAGAAACAAACATATGTTCAGCAGTGACGCATCCCGTGTAAAACCGTCCCCCGGAGAAAAACACATATTTCCAGCAGTGACACGTCCCCTTTAAAACCGTCCCCTGGAGAAAGAAACAAACATATGTCCAGCAGTGACGCATCCCGTGTAAAACCGTCCCCCGGAGAAAAACACATATTTCCAGCAGTGACACGTCCCCTTTAAAACCGTCCCCTGGAGAAAGAAACAAACATATGTTCAGCAGTGACGCATCCCGTGTAAAACGTCCCCCGGAGAAAAACACATATTTCCAGCAGTGACACGTCCCCTTTAAAACCGTCCCCTGGAGAAAGAAACAAACATATGTCCAGCAGTGACGCATCCCGTGTAAAACCGTCCCCCGGAGAAAAACACACACACACACATTCAGTGACGCATCCCCTTTAAATCCGTCCCCTGGAAAAAAAAAAAGAGAAAAGAACATATATTTCCAGCAGTGACACATCCCCTTTAAAACCGTTCCCTGGAAAAACAGAACACACACATATTTCCAGCAGTGACACATCCCCTTTAAAACCGTCCCCTGGAAAAAACAGAAAACACATATTTCTAGCAGTGACACATCCCCTTTAGTGACACATTTCCCCTTGGAAAACAAAACAAAACAAAAAAACATATTTCCCGCAGTGACACAAGGTGCCTTTTTTAGGGATCCCCTCACGGGTTGGTGAAAAACATGACGCAACTTCGCCCAGAAGTCTTGCCAGTTCTCCTGGGCGCTAATTGTTGTTTGTTTTAATTATCCCTGTTGGTTTTGCGGGGTGTTACTGCTGGAAATATGTTTTCCTTCTCCAGGGGACGGCTTGAAAGGGATTCTTTTCTGTGAAAGGCAAAGGGTGCTTTGGTTCCTTGCGAACGTTGAATCTGTTGCTTGGTTGCTCAACGACAGGTGAGGTTCCTTTTTCGATGGTTGCAAGGCCCCAGTTCCCCTAGTTATAACCATGGTTATAATGTTGACCCCGGATTGATAAACCCTTGTTTATTCATATGGGGGTGCTTCCCTCCAATCCCCACTAAAACCAGCGACACGGGACACCCCCCCATTGACAAACTGGGATCATTAATCCAGGGTTGCCATTTATCTCCTTACCTAACGTTGGCCAAACAGCCCACAATCACCCAAGCTATAACCATGCCCTAGGCTGTAACCCCAATGAAAATAATGGATGACCCAATTTAGATGATGACAGGTTGTAGTAACCCTTATTGATTTAATGCTGGGAAATGATTCCCGTTGTAGGTACAAGGGGGGTTCAGCGTCTCAAAAAGTCGGAAATCACCAACCATAATTTTGTGGCAATATCCCACTGTAAGGTTGTTTGAGGGTTCAGGTGGTTATAATCTGCTTACCTGATGTTGAACATCCGAAGCCTTGGACCACATCGTGTCTAGAAACCCAGAAAGCCGAATCGCACCACCCATCGGCTCGGTTTTAACTTCACCATGCCGACAAAACGAAACGGGTCCGCTCCCTTACTCCAATAGTTAAGGCATCCACCCTTTGGCTCTGACTCAATATGCTAGAAATCTTAGACTCACTGCAACAATAATGATTCTTGGAAAGCAAACAAGGGACTCAAACAAATGGACAAAACCTTCGACCCACTTCCAAACAAGTGCTTTGTTTTAGCTGCTCAGAGACAGTGGCTGGAAAACAAGGCCAACAGTCGCTCAGAGGCCGGATGTTTTTTTTTCTCCTGGCCATCGATGGGCTGCCAGCTGGGGCGCCACCGGCTTGATGTTGGCCGGGTTCAGCTCCGGGAAGTCCCGCCAGGCGCCTTTGCACATGTAGCCCAAGGACAGCAAAGGCACCGTGCCGTCCCCGTCCACGGTGGAGAGCCCGTAGTCCATTCTGAGAAAGAAAAAAAAACGCGAAGCGAGTGCGAACGCCGCCCCCGGAATTTGTTTTTGCCCTACCAGCTAACATGGGTTTGTGCATTCGGACCCCTGTAGAAAGACTACTTTCCTCTTGGAAAGGGCCTTTTTGCACTTCCATGTTAGTTGGTGGGAGGGTATCCCGACCTTTTGCGGAAATCGACGGGTTTCCCTACTAAATGGTCCCTTACCTCTCCTCAACTAGTGGAACCTGTCTCAGCTATGCTGGCAAATTCGCAGGGAACCACAAAAGGAGGGGCCAAAAGGAGATTCCACTAAACATTGTGGTTCTTGTTAGGTTCCATGAAGCTGGTGAGAAAGGCTGGTAGTTGGGAACCGCGCCTTTCTGCCGCTTCCCCTTATTGTTCCCACAAGACAACATCGAACAGAAGGGGGTGCTCACCCTTTCTGGAAACACCCCAAACGGTTGTGGAACATCGCATTCCAATGCCTCTGACTGTCGCTGCGATTCAACCGTTTGTAATGACATCTTGGCAAGCTAGAACAGTAGCGGAGTCCTATTCGATTCAATACTTAGTCTTCCAGGACCCCTCAGGCAGGTTCCACCTTAGTGAACGGCAAGGTATGTTCACACACTGGCAATAATGACCCCCGCAAACACAGGAGCCTTCATGTGTGAGGTGGCAATCATGATATTGGATCGGCCAGGAACAGCAACCGAACTTTCATTTACCACCAAAATCTTGGGGTCATTGACCCATTGTTAAAGGGTCATGGAGACTCCAGGCAAAAATGGTCCAGGCCCAAAAAGTGACTAAAGTCCAGATGTCAGGGAGTGAGAGATAGGCGATATTCCCTTGGAAAAACTCAAGGAACTCAGAAGCTGTGGTATAGTTCCACCAAAACCAATTTGACATGGCAAAACGGCGGCTTGCATCCTTCAAGTCCCGTTGAATATAATCATCGCCAGTGTTTGTTTTTTTGGTGCCTTTGACGAATTGCTAGGTCCTCCAGTAGAAAGGTCAGAATAAGCTGGTACCAACTTTTTTCAGGACGTCTATTTTAGTAGGGGAACCCTCCCCCACAAAAGGGTAAAAGGGCACTACTGCGGGACCTAGTATCAATCATCGCTCAAAGAAGCCTGAACTTGCAGTGATTTTTGGTGTTGTGCCTTTGATGAATTGGGGGAAAGCACGATGATCGAAATGGTCCGAAAACGGAAGGTGGCCGAAAAAACGTCAGATGTTTTAAGGGGACTCGGGTCACTTGATGGTTCACATTCTGCGTAACCCTGGCCACCTTTGTCTCAGAACAAGCATGAAGGACCACTTGGTATTTCATAAGATTGTGGGCGCCGACAATGAAGCTAACCAGCTCCAGAGTTCCAACTGGTTTAGATGTTATCTATTGTATGCATGTTCTGTGAACATATTGGAGCATACCCTTGGATGCACACGTTTATATATATATATATGTATATGTCCATGAAACTATCTATCCATACAGCAAAACTCCTGGGACACCTATGGCGCAAACGTACATTCAGCTTCCCTCGAGTAGGTGGTTTGGACTGGTGGTTGGGAGGTTAGAAGCTGGTTTTCTTCTCATCCTCTGCAGGAACCGGGCTAACCCCACAAACCACCAATCCAAACCACCAATTGAGGAATGTCTGATTCAAGGTAGTGTGCAACTAAACTGGCAGCGGCTCAAAATTAAAGAGCCAGGGTTACGCAGGTTTTGGTCCATTTTTCCACTTACCAGGGTTCCATTGTGGTGCCGGTTTTTTGAGCCATACCCAACTCACTTGCTAGAAAAGGCCCCAAAAGTGACAGGTGAACCTTTTGGGACCTTGACTGAATACGTACCAAAAGGGCTAAAAAACTAGCTTCTTCCATTTGCTTACCTAAGCCTGGAGAAAAACACGTATTTCCAGCAGTGATCGATTCCCTTTAAAAACAAACGGAGAAAATAACACATTTTCTTAAGCAAATGGAAGATCAAAACCAAAGTAAAACCAGTGCCATCCATGCGTTAGTCTATTCTTAAGCAAATGAGCCACAATCAAAACCTCTTCCGAAAATGGTGACCCAAAACCATGTAAAGAATCAAGAAGGCGGATCTCCGCAGCTAGTTATGGTCTGGGATTGTCGCTTACTCACCTTCAACTACCCGAATCGGTTTTGATTCTGTACAGCTGTTTGTCCTTCAGCATGATCCCAAGCGCGCGTGCCAAATTAGGGAAGCCCATTGAGGGAAAATCCATCCGGCCCACGGAAACCAACCAAAGGCATCTTTGAAGTTCCAGGCAAGGGGCAACTGGATGACACTTGCTGGTGATAGGGAATGAGAGAGTGAATTTGGGGATTTGGGGGATGGTTTACAGGGTTCATTCCATTTGGCCATGGGTCAAAATCCAACTCGTGCCTTCAGCGAACATCCCAATCCCCACTAAAATAGGTTTTCTGACATGGGTGGTAAATTCACCGAATCCCAACCAAATGGGATCCCAAAGCGGTTTCGACAACCACGGCCATTTCTCCAATGGCAGGCATCTTTGATCCCGACCGCCCAAGGCCCAGCGGGCGGCCTGGCGCTTTCGATGGCCCCCAGGGCGTAGGATGCGTCGTCGCTCACCTGGCATGGACGGGCGGCCTTCAAGGAGCAATCCTCGAGCTGGTCGAATTCAAGCGAAACCAAAGGGAAGACGAGAGGAAAACAAAGAGGGACCAAAAAAAACACACTTCCTTGCAAGTTGCCCCCCGAATTTGGAGAGTGACTTGGTTTCTCTTTTGGGGATTTTTGTTCTTTTGGTTCGGTTTGGAAACATGCCATCCATTTTGGAGTTGGACGGGTCGGCTAGGGCCTCAGGGCCCTGGTGCAAGGCAATTTCTGGGCTTTGGGTTTGGACGGGTGAGCAACGGACGACCATCCCCGGCTTTGCGGTCTCCATGTCAACGTGCGTAAGGTACCTGGAGTCTCCATGACCAGAAAAAGGGGTCATGACCTCATATTTTTTGAAAAATGATCCCAGTTTTGAAGGGTCAGAAGGAGACATGGAGACTCTAGGTACTTCAACCTCATGTATCCCAGCACAAACATCATGTGTGCCCCCACGGACTATCAAGTCGCTCGACTCAAAGGGTATCAAGGGACCCTGGCAAAGCTGTTGGAATCTGAAACAACAATTCACCCAAAAAACCATTCCCTATGAAGAGACTCACTTGATGGTACATGGCAGCTTGGGGCTTCCCACCATTTGCAAATTGTTGTTGACTTTAAGCGGATTGGCCAGACAAAGTAACGATACTTGTTGTTTTCCACTAAAATAGTCCAGACCCTAAAAAGTGACCATCAAGTCCAAAGTTAATTCCTCAGGTAGTGCTCAGACCGCCAAAGTGACTGGCGTCCATACTTCCTCAGGGAGTAGACCGCAAAAGCGAGGATCAAGTCCACGATTGTTTCAGGGAGTGAGAGGCAAGGGGGAAATCAACCCTTAGAGACTAGGTCCTCCAGTAGAGAGGTTAGAATAAGTTGGTACCAACTTTGTTCTGTAGTCTATTTTAGTAGAGGAACCCTCCCCCAAAAAAGAAACGGTAAAAGGGCACTACTGGGGGACCTCGGAGTAGAGGACTCCGAGCCGAGCCACGGAGTGGGAGGTGTAGTCGATCCGCCCGAAGGTCTCCCCCGGAGCAGGGTTTGTGTAGCTGTACGCCCGCTCCGTGCGCACCTCAAGAAACGCAGGCCTGCCGAAATCCGTTTGTTTGTTTTTGTTTGTGTGCGTTTTTTTTGGGTTTCCGCTGGCAGATGTGTTTTTTGTTTTTGGTAAAAAATAGTTTGTGTTGTTTTCTTCCGCTGGCAGATGTTGTTGTTTTTGTTTAGCAACAAGAAACTCAATAGGGTAGACAAAGTATAGGGGGGGGGTTGTGAGGATGTGTGTAACATTGGTTCTACCCTATCTAACTGGCAGACATGCTTTTTCTTGTAAACAAATCGGGCGGACGAGGTATGGGGGGTGTGGGTCCACGTCTGAGGATGTATGAAACATTGGTTCTAGCCTATCTAACTATACATACCGCAGTGTACCCCCCCCAAACAAAAAACAAATAAATGAATAATGTTTGATTGCTGAAGCAACTAGCCAAATCGAACTAAGCTTTCAACAGCAAGCTGAATTTGTGATGTGTCAACGGGTGTTGGGTCCCTATGGCTTCGGTTGTCCTTTTGGTTTCCCTGGCAAACAGCCCCAAAAAAAAGGGGCGCCCTTAACAAAAAAACTAAAACACCATATCCTCGATGGTTGGTTTGTTCTTCACGGGAAGTAAGAGGAGTTTGAACCGATGTGCTCCAACAAAAGTCACCGGGCCTCATGTGGTGCTCAACGTGCAACCTTTGGAGGTTCCAAAAAAGACATGGAGGAGACACTGTCCATGCGTTTCGATTCCCAAGCTGATGAACCGTTAGTTCAACTCACTTCCGATCTAGCGTGGACTGGCCAAAGGAAGTAAACAGGAACTTGCGCAGACCACTAACATGGCCTTCCCCCCATTAAACTCAAAGAACTCGGGGAGTGAGTGAAAAGAACTGGCTTCATTGTACCCATCAGTATTAGGCTCCGAGCAACAAACATGCTTCATGCGAGCCCAGGGAACGGCCCTGAAGATCTGATGCCTCCCATCGGCAACCCTTAAAAAGGTGGGGGGGTGTTTTCTTATATCTTATGGGGAACCTCTCCAAAATATGGGGTCTTCCATTTTTCGTGTCCCTGTAAAACCGCTAAACATGGAGATCCCTATAAAAAAAAACAGGCTGGTGTGAGGAGTTGATGCCGCGATGGCCGCCGTGGGGAACCCTTTTGACTTTTGGAGCCCTTCAAGTTGGGGGAGACCCTGAAACCATCACTGTGTCTGAGCGGCCGACCGTACAACGCGGCTTGCGGCTTGCGGATGCGACCCTTTGTGCCTATGCCAAGCCACCTACTACTGGAAAGCTGATAGCTCTTCACTCGCAAAAGACCAGGGACTGTGTTTTCTGGTGGAACACCATTTCCTGGGGCTTGGCTCCTAGCCTAGATGCACTCACTGACCCATTTTGACCCCCTAAATACATCCTCAAGAGCTACTTAAAACCCTCTGGGTGGGTTGCCATCCTTCCAACAATCAGGGTGAGATGGAATCTTCAAAAGCCGGTTCCACTGGGGTCATTACTTTGAGGGTTTCGGGGGGTTATCAAAGTCAGAAAATTGGGGGTTGGTTCCCTTAATCCACCACTGAACGGCCGATTGCGGTGTGAGGACTTCTCACTTGCTGTGGGGATTGGCCGCAAAGAGTCCAAACTTCTCATGCACTACTCAACTCAGCGCAGGCGCCCCCACGCCGTACATGCAGAAGACCTTGAGGTTAGGAGCTTTCGGCAGTGCAGAGCTGAAGGGGTCCCAGGAGATCCGCTGCGGAAAGCACTGCCTTAGGCCGTCGGTGCTCGGCCGAGTTGATGAGTTGGCCCGGCCGGAGCATTTTTGGTCCACAAAACTTGGGTGCTGTAGATCCCGCAAAAAGTGAACAACTGTTTGCTGGTTAAAAGGAAATATGAGGGGAACCAAAAAGTTAAAGTAAACAAATGCAATTCGCAGTAGATAAAAATGGTCTTCTCACAAAGTATAAGGGCCAGGAACTCAGGGAAGTAAGTGAGTCATGCTAAGTAGAGCCAACCTTGTTAGTGGGTTATACCCCAGGCGGTCAAGTCCCTTTACTAACTTGGCGGATCGAAGATCCAAGTGGGCCACGCGCGGAGCCTTGCTTCCCTAAGGGTCCGATCGGGGCTTGGTATGCAAAACCCGGCGGCTCCCATACCACATTTGGGGGTGTGAAAAGGACTTATATGTTCAGGGATTTCCCAAATTCCACCAGGACCCTTATACAGTTTGGGACACGTTGGGTCCTCTGGACAAGGGACAAACAAATGACAAGTCATTCCCTTTTGGTTGCCCTTTGAATAAAACTTAGCGGCCGTATCATCCAGAGGGGATAACGCAACTGATCAAGGGTGTGGCTGTAATGGTTAGACCCTGCTATTAACACTTACCCTGTTTTATCAGAACGGTTCACAGGCCGCTTTCAAGCGGCAACCTGCCCTGTTTGAACATTCCTGAGATGGGTGGGGGCCTTTTCCGTGCTTTGAAAGCGAAACCGACCATTTTGGTGGGCCCAAAAGGTGATGTTCGAACCGGCCGGGGAGCGTCGCAACCGAAGGATTCACGTCATCGTTTGCACATGCGTTGTGGCTGTTCAAGGCAACCACACGTGTACCAACCTACCAAAACTCGTCCACAAGTGAGTTATGATTAGCTCGGTTTGGCTTGCGTTGTTTGTGCTTTGAAGCGATCGTTTACTCAACGACCCCTGCGCCTCACAAGCCATCCAAGGGTACCAAGCCCGTTTTCAGGCCGTTTGTGAATTCCTTGTTGACTGATGGGGGAGCAACAAATCCAATGTAACTCAGCTGGGGTCTAGAAATGACAGGTGATCACCTTGGGCCACAACACATGACCAAGGGGAAACTAAAAGGTGATTGCAGGTTGATTCGCTTTGGGCAAGTGAAACACTTAGAGGGGCGATCGGGTACGTCCGGTAAGTAGGTAATAACCATGGCCATCACCCACTTACCATGGCTGTAAATCTCCCAAGTGGGTTTTTCCCAGGCTTACTATCCTCTTACGAAGTACCCTGCCCCAGTAAGTAAGGGACCCTCTCAAAAAGGACACATGTGCCAGATTTCTGCTGGGTTGCGCCTCTTTGGCGCCAAATCCAACCGCGCACTCTCCCACCTGACACAAGGCCAAGACAAAAAGGGGGGAGTGCGGACAAGAAAAGGGGGGGTGCTTTTCTCCGGGATTGAAACCATGGTTGGGTTCATAGAACCATCATTACCAAAGGATTGTCATCATCTAAACTGGGTCAACCATTTCATTTTAATCGGGGCTGACACGGCATTCTTCCACACTGAATGCCGACTGCCGACACCTTGGTGAATCTAACCAGACTTCTTTGCTCCCTTGAGTACTCTAGGACACACATGCAAGGGATCAATTGCGCGGCACAGTTTTTGCCCCGCATGTCAGGATTCACGTGTCGCATGTGACACAACCCTCTCGTTCGCCGGCGTTTGCGCTGGACGTTGAAAGATGTCAACGCCTTCTCACTTGCCATGTGATGCCCCATGGAAGAAGGACAGCCCGTCTGCTGAATTGAAAGGGAACCCCATCAAAGCCATGTAAGGGGGCCCCGAGAGCCAAAGGCCGGTGATGTGCCTATTCAGTTGACCCATGACAGGGTCTGACTCAAATGTCGAGATGTTTCCCTCCTCTCGTCCCGACCTGGGCCTTTTTGGGTTTCTCTCAAGGAACTGAAGAAACACTTTGCACACTATAATTTAGTTGCACAGGTAACCCACCCGCAGGGTGCCCGGCACGTTTGTTTTCTTTACCACGATGGTCGTCTTCCCAAGCGACCAAACTCAGGGAACTCAAGCTTTTCAGATCTTCTTTGGATGGTACTGATTCTGGTGGACAGTCGGACGGCAAACACAACAACACATATGTTGTGGGGCGAACACGCGAGAGGACGGGCCCGAGCAATTGTGGGCATTTTGTGGCGCATCAACCGGGAGTTCTTCCAAAAATGGGCGGGACCTTCTTGTGATTGGTATGCAAAGGGAAACACAGAAGGAAGCCAACCACTTTTTCGCGTCCAGTCCTAACCCCGAAGGCTGATGATCTGAATCCATGGCCATTTGGGACCCGTTTCTAAGGGCGGATTTTCCATCAAGCCATAACTAACTGTGAATTCACCCATCAACTAGGGGTTACCTGGGGCCCATAGATCGGAAACTTTGCAATAATTCCAAAAGCTGAATTAAGATTCGGATCCCCAAGTAAAGGACCTCTGTCATGGCTTTCGCTCGATATGGCCCCAATCGCTGAGCTCGCTACACGATAGGCAGAAATATACGGACATATACCTGGACCATTGGCTGGAAAACCACAAAAAAGATGACATGTCCCATTAAGCTGGAAAAAGTTACCCATGGTCATTTGGGGGCCAAAGGGAATGTGGGTGTGGATTAAAATTCAAGGGCTATGGCAAACCGCCAGGTTTTAGTCTTTGGTTCCATTTACCCTTTGGTGTCAATTGGGTCACCATGACTTTTTTTGCCATACGGATTCACGCCCCATATACACCCCAGGTATGAACCCCCGTAAGCTTATGGGTTAATTCAGTTAGCTGTGGCGTAATTATGGATAATCCGCCCCCCAAAAAAAACCAAATGGCCATGCATATATGGCCATGGGTCAAAATCCAAATCGTGCCCCCAGTGAACATCCCAATCCCCACTAGAATCGGTTCTAACTAAGGGCAAAACAGATGTGGTCACCAGTTGGGGGGGGGCAGGCAAAAATCTTAGCGAACCTACGCGAACCCAAAGTACCTAAGCGAACGTTTGCGAACCCGCTTCTCATCTGCGAACATGGCGGGGATTGCGAACTGTCAAAGTCACGCGCGAACGCAGGGGGGCTTAGCTAGGCTGCCAGGGCTGCGCCGAGCCGGCGCCGCCTCTGGCAGGACCTGGCCAGGGCTGCGCCGGGCCGGCGCCTCCTCTGGCAGGACCTGGCCAGGGCTGCGCCGGGCCGGCGCCGCCCTCGCACGAACCCTGGATTGGGTTTGCGAACCTTTGG